CATTGCTAAAATTTCAAGACGACACGAAGAGTATCAGTCTCTGTCGAGCGTTTGCAGGGCGAGTCGTTTCTAGCCCTGAATATTCAACTAATTTAGGCAAATCTCTACTAGGCATCAGTTTCAAGCTAATTTTGGATTAAAGTCACTGAAGTCAGTTGATCGTAAAACTTACATCGGGAGTTATTTGCATCTGGTTCAGTAACCAAATTTGTTCCGTAATCAAATTTGAGAGCAGATAATGTTTAGATGGCGTTACTAGTGAATGTTCAACGGGAATTTCTATTCATTCTGTTTTCATTAGTTTTTTTAAAATTGTTTTCATATCTTCCGGGAAAGGTTTTAATTTTATTCGTACTTCTCATTTTGGCGTCGGGGAATTGTTACGAGCAAAACTGAATACCGTTCTCGTTTATTGGAATTCTTAGTCATCCAAAGTTAAGTGATAAGAAATTAGTGAAGCGGAGCGATATGAGTTTCTGCAATTATTATTTTTTTCATATATAAGAATCTGTGCAGATTCAGGAAAGGAAATTCCAGAGCAATGAATTTCGATGTAATTCAGGTCAGTATGTACGATGATGCGAGGTGTTTTAATATCGTCGGCGAGACGGCGGCCGTTGTTGAGTGTGATCAGTCGAATTGCATCATGCAACAAGAAGGTTTTTGTCCGAAATGTAAGAAATTTCTGCTCAGTTTTTCATTTCACTTAATTCGTTGATTATTTTGAATTGTATTCTTTTACAATATGTTGTTTTATATTTGTGATACTTGATTATTGTTATCGATGTGAAATTAAAATCGAATCAAAACCGTGCAGATGACATCTGTGATGACGCAAAGAGAAGCGGCGAAGTTACGAAATGCATCGTGGAGGGATCTGAAGAGTATTTTCGCACTAGCTTATCCACATAAAGGTCGAATATTGCGTAAGTGTTTTTTGTTTTGTTTTCAATATTGTCTCTATTTTTGCATTTTTTTAAAATATCTTATCTCTTTTGTTTTCGCACAATCTCTTAATAAGAATGTAGAAATTTTGATTTTCTTCCATTCGTGGTCATAATAATTTTGCACATGACTTGATAATTAAGAAAGGCATTTTGTTGTCCTGGTATGGCATTTTCTATGATGNNGCGATTTGTGGTCGTGCTTATTGTATGCATACTGCTGGTTGGTGCTTCGTTCTTGAATTGTTGTTGTTGTTGTTGTTTTGTTTTACGTTTTGAGGAGTTTGCAAGAGAGGTCTATTTTATAGTTGGTTAATAATTGAATTGGGTGTGGTGAGACGATGGGACGGTAAAATGAGTATTTGTCAATTGAGAATATGAGATTTGTTATTTGAAGTTGAGCTATTTCATCATTAATAATAATTGAGATATTTCATCATTAAAGTTAAGTGATAAGGAAGTTATGAAGCGGAGCGATATGAGTTTCTGCAATTTGACTCATAAGAATCTCTGCAAATTTAAGAAAGCCATTTGGCAAGTTGACTGATGAATTTGACGAGATATTGAGAACTTTGAGATATTGAAATATTGTAATGCAAATTTTTCGAATCAATTATTTATTCAATAGGTTAGTTAGTAATGGATGATTTGTAATTATTGGGAAGTTTAGGAAAGTCTGAGAGAAGTTCGTTTTCTTTGCTTTTTTGGTCGATTCGACGAGTAGAATAATAAATTTCAGGTCAGTTAGTAATAAATGATCTTCGCACAAAAGTGTTCAAATCAGTGTTACATCAAGAATTGGCGTTTTTCGATAGGAATAAAGTGGGTGAGCTGGTGAGTCGATTGTCTACCGATGCACTGATTGTTGGCTATTCGGTGTCGATGAATTTAAGCGATGGAGCTCGCGCATTGATCACCGCTGTTGGTTCGGCGAGTCTGATGGTTCGTTTTTTTTTTGTTCAGTCGGCACTGGATCACTTGAGACGAGTGTTTGGTTGCTGGTGAATTCGTTGAATCACTTTGCTTTGTAGACTTTTCGTAAGAGAGGTGTTGAGAATGGATTTCATTCCTAGAGAAACTCCTGCAAGAGAGTTTTTTCGGCGGATGTTTGCATGATTCTTTTAGTGGTAGAGGCAAAGAGTCAGCCATTTAGTTTGTTCGGTTTAAAGTCGGTTATCTCTTACTTCACTGGATAGTCACTCATAAGATCGTGAATTTGTTGGATACTTGGGTTGTTCACTGAGATTTATTTCGTTTGCTATATCCAGTGAGAAGAATGAAATTATTCGTTGCATCCATCGGTACATAATGATTCCATTAGGGTTGGTTTATGAGTGAAAATAGTGTTAGATGAGGATTTATAATGTGAACTTAAGGTATATACATCACCGGCATTGTGCAAAGTAGTGGTGTTCGTTATACCGATTCTCGTCGGGACTTTGGCCGTTTTCGGTAGATTGATGCGCAAATATACCATACAAATGCAAGAGGCGGTTGCTGGAGCGAATCAGGTCAGTTTATTAATCGAATTGCACGAACGAGATGATTTAGCAGTGCATATGTTTTAGTGAGTAGCATTAGATTTACTAATGATCAGTTGGAATATTTAGTTGCAGATTTCAGTTTCAGCATGAATTCATTAGAAAATTTTTTTAGTTATTTGTATTTATGTGATTCATTTTTCTTGATTTCTTTTGTTTTCGTTTCTAAAGATTCAATTTCAAATTGTTCTAGACAATTTCAAAAGTTGACGTTGCAAAATTTCAGGTCGCAACAGAGCGACTATCAAACGTTCGAACAGTGCGTATGTTGGTTGCGGAAAAGAAGGAATTAGATGCGTACCGATCGAAGATTCACGACATTTGGTTGATTTCTTGCAAAGAGGGTTTAGCCAAGGGGCTTATGTTCGGCGGGGTACGTCCTCAGTTCACTTGTTTCATTCGAGCTTTTCATCGCTTTTTCGCATCATTGCAAATGCAGATGAACAATTGATGGAACGTTCTTCATTCATTCGTTTTTACAAAATCAATTTTTGAGAAAGCTGCTTTGAAATCATGTTGAAGTGAAGGAATCTTTCGGGTTTCAAGATTTAAAAAAAATGTTAAATGGGGAGAATAAAGAGTTTCCTTTAGTTTCAATTTACTGGTTATATGGCAATGACAACGGTGTTGTTTTACGGAAGTAATTTGATCAGCGTTGGATTGCTAACATACGGTGAGTTACTTCGTATTTTGATGCATTGAAAACACTTCATTTTGAAACTCGCTTTGATTTAGGATTGTATTGCACAATAATGATCTTTGAGATGTTGATTACTGTTTCGTTCGTTTGCCACGAGAGGAAATGTGAAGTATCGTAGTTGAGAAATAATTGAAATTATAAGGCATGATAACAATGAATATTTGGAAACGAAGATGATTTCTATCTGGCCAAATTTATTGATGCTAACCAGAATTCGATAGAATCTTCAAGGAATTTATATCAAAATTTAGGAAGCTGCAATATATTTTAATAAAAGAAGTTATTCAAAATTTTCGTCTCTCATCTCATGAGATTTGCAAAATTCTCGTGTAGAATAACGAGAATTCGCGAATATTTGACGGACGAATTTGGTTCATTTGCAGGTGATCTGTCGTCATTTTGTTTGTACGCCGTGTTGTGTGCATCGAGTTTATCGCTGATGAGCGGTTTTTTCACAGAGTTAATGAAAGGTCTCGGAGCAAGTTCGAGGCTGTTCGAACTGCGATTTCGAGTGCCTGCCATCCCGATGAAAGGTACCTTCATAGAGAGAAATGACAGAGATGCTTGGATTCATCTGAACTTTACTTTACTTGACTTCTACTTCTGATGATGATGATAACCTGTGTGAGTTGCGCTAAATACGGGCGACATTGACGAGAGGATCTCTGGGATTGAGTCAGTCAGCCCAAAGTTGAGGAGTTTCAGTTGGAGAAATGATAAGAAATCAATGTTTTCGATGCGATTCAGGTGAATTGTGCTATCGTTCATAATGTGTTAATGTTCTGTTTGTTGTGCACTCGACGTNGTCGTTTCTTTGCGATGAGAGAAGTTTTCATTTGGCATTATTCAGGTGGCATCAAGAAGAACGGTATCGAACGCGACATTCGATTCGAATCGGTGTCTTTCGACTATCAGGATCGACCGCATATATTCCATGATGTCACTTTTCGAATTCCGGCCGGAAAAGTTACGGCGATTGTGGGGCCGTCCGGATCGGGCAAAAGTACTGTTGCGAATCTGTTGTTGAGGTGAGAGACTGCTTGTTTCACTTAAGTTTATGCGATCGTTATTTAACATTTTCATTCTATTTTGCGTCATTTCCGGCTCATTCTGCGGTGAGTTCGAAGTCGATTTCTCTTTACGTTTGTTCTTTACGAAAAGGAAGCAGTTTTGGATGATGTGGTGGTTGTTTGTAGGTTATACGATCCATCAGAGGGTCGAATTATGGTGGATGATGTGGATTTGAAAGAGTTGGATCCGTCGCACTGGCGTCGTCAGATCGGAACCGTTGGACAGGTTGGAAGTTTTTGAGATGGAATATTGAAATGAATTGGTTTATCGACTTGAGAATGGTTTCTGTTTCAGTGATAAATAGTCATCTTTTGAACTGTCATCAGAAAAAAAAAGATTTTCAACAATTGAGAAGCTTTGTTTTGAATCGCAAATGCAACGAAACCGTCGGAAATAATCTGAATTTAAGGAGCCAGTTCTATTTTCAACAACAATTTGGAATAATATCGTCTATGGTGCCGAGAAACCAGAACTTATTACCAATGAACAGGTTTGTTGTTCTCTTCAATCGACTGCATTTGTTGCCCTCAGTGCAAAGTTCAAAAGTTACTTCGATTGAGTATTCGTAAAATTTGATATCCATTTCGATCTGATGAGTATTTTGATTGTTCCCCTCTCATTGAAAGTCATCTCGGAAGTACAGATGCTCTAGCAATGATTGAATTAATTTGTTCATTTGGCATTAGAGACAGTGGGCAAATTTTATTATTTCTAGCTGTAAGAGATTCGATGTTTCAACGATGTTTGGGTATGAAACATTCGCTCTTGTAAACAGCCCGTCTCCGTAATTTTAGCACTTTAAGGTACAAGAGGCTGCGGCTCAGTCGAATGCGTTGGAATTTATTCGTGAATTCCCGCAAGGTTTTCAAACTTTGGTCGGTGAACAAGGCGCATCAATGCTAAGTGGCGGTCAAAAGCAACGAATTGCTATTGCAAGAGCACTTGTTACGGTACGTTTACGTTACAGTGGAGCAATTCTTTTGCGATTAATTTCATTCTTTAGACAGTCTTTCCTCATCAGTGTGCTCATTCAGTAGTCGTTTACATGGAGATGGTTTGATTCTTTCAGAACCCATGCATGTTGATTCTGGATGAGGCAACAAGTGCGCTGGATGCGACCAGCGAATATCTGGTTAGGACGGCGTTGAATAAACTACTCGAAAACAGTCATCAGACTGTCTTGATTATAGCGCATCGGTGAGCATTCACGCCAATTATTTCTCCACGTTTTCTTTTTTGAATTGCCAATCGCGTTTCTCCGAAAATTTCATAATCAGTTTAAAAATGCAATGTCTTTAAGTAGTCTTGTAGAACAAATGATTTTTGATCGAATAAGCTCGATGTGAATTATTTTTCCAATCACATACCAGTTTTTGCCATCAAGTTTTCTTAAGAGTAATAGTCTGCGAAGGGATTGAGGAGTTCCGTCTGCGTATTGTGTTGTCAGAGTTTCCAGTCTGTCTTTATTCTTTTTTGATTTTGTGAGTTTATCGATTTCTGGTTGTTCGTTGAAGTGCAAATAAAGGAGAAAAAAATGAATGTGAACATTTTTCCCCTTTTCCGCCCGTCTGTTGTTCGCAAGTAAAGAATAAATCAAGTGCATGCGTGTGAATTCGAATGGAAGTGCAACTAAACGTCAGAACTAAAAAGTTTGAATTATTTTGGAAAGATGAAACAATCATTCAATTCGCAATTGATTGATCGGTTTTTTTAACAAAATTGATCGAATTTGATAAAAGTTGGTGTTTTTGATGATGGTTTTACAATGTGTATTGATCGTTATTCGTCTGGTGGTGTTCGTTTAATGAATGCGAAATGTTGATTGGAGGTGATAAATTAGTGGTGTTCAGACATCATTTGTTACGTTTGTGAGCAAATTTTAAGAATATTGGCGACTGAACGTTTGAGGGGAAATTCGTTTATTTGAATGTTTTCGTTGTGTACTTCTTTTCATTCGAATGTTTATTCATTTATCTGTTTATTCAACCATGTCTTCTCGTATTTTTTCGTTTATTTATTAATTTATTTGATTGAGTCACTGAGCGATTCAGTCATTTTCAAGATACTCTTCTGTCATATTCGCTTGATCGAGAATCTTGGAGATGTGGTTTTCCCAAGATTTTTTTTTCGGGGGGGCTGGGTGGATGGTTTTGCCGAGGGATTAGGAGAGGGTGAGTTAGAAGGAGAATTCCTCAAGACTTTGGGAGTAGGCTATTGAAGGAGGGCTGATGAATATGGAATAGAATCATGCCTGTGGACTAATGAATCGCTGAGTGAGTACATTTGCTCTTTAGAATCACTTTGTGGTACCATTTTAGGCGCATTTTTGATGCAATTTCACGGATTTAGGCATGAATTGAGTGCGATTGAAGTAAATACAAAGATTTTGCGCAAGTTTAGTTCTAGGAGTTGAGGGGTGAGGGGTCCGTTTAACGGGATAAGGGGTTGGGGAAATACTTGAGGCAATATGGCGTTTGTTTGTCATCGTTTACAGTTTTTGATCGCTTGTTTATCGCATTTTATGTGTTCATTGTGTAATTTTGCAGTTTATCAACAATTAAATACGCCGATCAAATCGTTGTGCTTGACAAAGGAACAGTGGCTGAGACTGGAACGTTCAACAGGCTGATGGGAATCGATGACGGTATATTCAAGAAGCTTGTCGAAAAACAAGCAATCGGTTGGAGAGAAGAGAATTTCTGAGGGTTGATGAGAGCTTTCAACGCGTTTTAAATTCAGCAACGCCGGACGAACATTAGTGACAAGATAAAAATGCACATTCTGTCGTCAATATCTTCACCGTATCTTATCACCTGAATTCTCAACGAATTCGTCATATGCACAACACACCCAACTTATTATGGACCCAAATCGGCACTGAATTTATACTTGTGTGATGTTTGCAAATAATGAATAGTGGATAATTCAGTACAACATTATGAAATTCTTTCAATTGCAAGATAAAGCGATCTCTTAATATCTATCTAGTAGAAAGAAAAATTGTCTTTACATTTNATTGTTTGTTCGAGACTCGTCTAAATATTCCTCTCCAATTTGTAGTTGTTGCAAGTTGTCAAGCCATTACTCACTAATATGAATGAGTAGGTAGGTACTGAATGAAAACAAATTCATCTATCTATTTATTTATTAATTTATTTGAGTGTTCGTAGTATCGTTCATATAGTGTACTGTTCATCTGAATAACTTGTATGTCACCCTTATAACTTCTCTATCATAATTATAACTTAAATGATATATTGCACTTGTTCATGCACGCACACACTCGAATACGTGTGCAAATTTGCGAATATATTTATCAAATTTGTTATCATTATGAATACTCGTTCGATACCACATACAGCGATCATCTCATCATTATCTTTAAAAGGAATCAAAGTATTCTATTCATTTTTTCCTCTATTTTTTAGTGGTATGTTTAGATTGATTTTCGGTTCGGTTTAAATTTTCAAACTGAATGCGTACATACTTTCATCGGTTGCTATCTGGAAAAAAAAAGCTGGAAAGTCGAAAGTTTTTTGTTTTTTGCTGTACTGTGCACGAATGGAATGAGAATTGCACTCGTGAACATTGAACGATTATATTCATAATCAATGAATCTTTTCATAAATTGAGCTTCTTCTATGAACTCGTCATGTTGTTTTTTGAAACTGAGATACTTCAATCATTTGCTGAAATACTT